ATATGTTCCTTGTATTTCAGATTATTCTTTTGGACTGTGTTAACTTTCTCTGTAAGTGCCCAGAGATAATGGCTGTGCTCTTCTGAAATATGAAGAACACATCATTAGGGAAAACATTTCCAGCAATTAACATCCTCCGAAGTGGATGGTACTGTGTCGGCACGTGCTCTTATTTGCTGGTAATGGTTTTCATAGTTTGCTTAAAATCACGGGAGGTGAAACTGGAAAGGCATCTGGGAAAGGCTGAAATCGTAAATTTTGAGTTTTGATCTTGCTCTGAGATTTGGATGCACGTCTGGGAATCTTGCTGTGGGGAATGCTCCTTCTTCAAGGTGCGGTTCAGTAATTTAAATAATTATTTCTGCTTCTGCTCCTCCTCTTCTTTTCAATCTTGTTCTGTTTTGGGGCTGTGGATGTGGTCCATGCTCACTCTGTGCTGTTAGTAACTGATAGCCTGTTTTTCTTCTACCATATAGCTGTGCTGAGAGCCTGTGGATTTGAGAGGCACTTGTATTTTTGGTGTGTTGAAGCAGCTGTGCTAGGGACAGACGAACGTGGGGGGGCTCCAGGGGAATGCCAAGTCCCTCCACAGAGGCTGTAGGATTAAAATAAACCTGTTCACCTCAGCTCGCTTTCTGCATGTGGTGTTTCAAGGAAAAAGCAAGTGGCTGTTTATTAGGGAATGATTTAGAAGATTATATTTAATTCAAGAGTGTGCATGGCTAAGTGCTGAAAGGCAGCCACCTGCTACAAGGAGTGTGCCAATTGCTTAAAGTAATACCATAGGCTGCTTAGAAAGAGATACACTATTCTGTGTATGTTATATTATTTACAGAGGAGATGGTGATGTGTTAATTGCTCTCCAGTTCAATAAAAAGTGTCTTTGCTCTGAGGAATTAATGGCTCAAGGATGACTATCCAATAGTAGGCTGACTTGTCAGCATTGTGTTTTCTGTCTGAATTGAAAGAAGCTATCTGCTTCAGAAGAAAGGGTGTTTCTATTGACTTGGTTTGCCTTAGTAACATTTAGTGTTTTAATCAGAAGTAACTGTGGGATTTTCTTCTGTTTTGGCTAGGCTTGATTCATTTTTAAGTCTTGAGAATGCTAGCTACAGAATATATCACGCTTGGAAAATAGGAGGAGGGTAAGTTGAAGCTCAGCAGTGAGCAACTCCTTGAATTAATCACAAATGTAGCTGCACTTCAGTGAAGAAACATTTCTGAGAACTTGTGTTGCAGTGGGGCTGTCAATCTGCCTTTACAAATAACCCTCATAACTTCTAATGTTGTATAAGCAATGTAATCATCAGGCAGTTTAAATGAGGATACGGGGGGATAGGGATTAAAATTGTTCAAGGGGATTAAAGTTGTCAGATAATGGCTGGCAGGTGTCCTTTACTTGCGACAGACTCTTAGGTGATGTCACTGGTTTTGCAGCAGAGCAAGAAGGAGCTTGTCTTGTTCTTGGCTTCCCAAAACCAGTCTGAACATATGCTGGGATGCTTTGTTTGAATGATGTCAAAGGTATTAATGGAAGAGATGCAAAGTGAACTTAGTCCTCCGTAGTGTATTCATCTTTTATCTGCTGGAGCTGTTAATGGACAATCTTTTTATGCAGTGCATACTTGGATTCTGACTGGGACATTCCTCTTCAAAGCTGACTTCCCTTTTTCAGTTGAACAAGGGGTAAATTGTAGCAAAGAGGTTGAATAACTCTGTTGTCACAGAGCCTTTGGGCGGCTGCTGGAGTCCTGAATGCAGCATTATCTCATAAACATAAATAGCCAGCTCCTTTGGTTTCACTGCACTGAGTGTGAGGCCAAGTCTGTCTTATTTCCAGCAATGTTGCCTTTCTTACAGTATACCTTTGTTGCCAGTGAAGATAATGTGGTATTAAACTGAAATTTTTAGGCAAGGCATGATGCTTGGAGTTTCTTCATGCTTAGCTTTTGAATTTCTCTTCTGGCTGTATCAGCATCAGTAGACATCTGTAAAATAGATGTGAATTTGGTGAGTCAGATGCTTCATATCTGCATGAAGAAGTCTGAAAAGATGCATCTGTCCTCCTGCCTCAATCCATAGAAGAAACTGGGCCTGAATGTAAAGATTTGTAAATATTTGCAGTCTCTGAGGAAACAAAGTCTTGTGATATCCCACCAGGCACTTTGCATTGCTTCTTTGCTGTCTGCAAGTTGACTAAGGAGAATATAAAAGCGTTTGTTGAGAGTCTGCAGTTACAGATCTATACAATATCCCAAGTCAGAAGGGACTCACCTAAAGTGGGATCATTAAGTCTGACTCTGGCTTCACATAGACCCACCCAAAATTTAAACCCTGTGTCTGTTTTTCCAAGGTCAGTGCAGTGAAAATACGGTCTCACAGCATTCTACCGTGGTACACAGAAAAGTGTTTAAATCCTCCTGAAAACTTTAAATAAAAATCCTGTAGCTTCTTCCACTATAAAAACAAAAGCACCTATGCACCTGTGATAACTAAAAATTCCCTAATCATATCTTTTGAAAAGATTCATACCAATAAGTTATGAATTGAAGTTTCAGTCATGAGAGAGGAAGTTAAATTACTGTCTTCATAGCTGTGACGTTCTTTGTGGTGAGCAGGTATGAGAGGTATGTCTTCTTGGTGCTGTCTTGCTGCAAATTCCAGCTGCCGATCTGCTCTAGTTTCTCTTTCTCCTTTTGTGTTCACAGCGTTTTGCAGATTTCAGTAGAGCAAGGACACCTTCCTGGTGCACTGGAATCAAAGCTGGTGTGGCTGTATGCTGGGTAGGGGGTAAGCAGGACAACAGGAGGCGTTCATTCACGTATGTCCTGAGTAGCCCTCATGAGTAGCACTACAGCTGTGCACCAGCCTGGATCTAAATCAATCTCTTCACATTTGGGAAATGTTGTACAGAGATCACTGACAGTATCCAGTGACAGTTCCCACAAAAGGCATGTCAGAGGTTTGGCAGCGAAGAGTTTGTGCTTCATCCTTGGTGACAGATCCTCTTTGCAAAGAGGCTGAAGTTCCGGACACTATTGGTGACCAAGTTTGAACGCACAAGTGTCTTGTATTTTTTCCTCAAAAACTTCATTACCAGAATGACTGGCTGTTCCTTCTGATTGTGTGTCCTGATACAGACACAGCAGTACTATCAGTAGCGATCTGTTCTGTAATGTGCAGTTCTCTGGAGAGCTTTCAGGTAGAGTTTTTTCTGTGAAAAGTATCCTAGCCTTGCGTTGTTACTACATTGTGACGTGCTCAGTATGACATGTCCTTTTATTTATTTTTTCCTCTGATTCCTTTTTAGCGAGTATTAAATATTTAGATGCCAGCATTTTTGGAAGGGGCTGCTAAAACAGATTGGTTTCCTTTCTCAGTCCCCTTCAAAGTGAAACACGAGTCCCTTTTTTATTCAGCCCAGATGGTGTGCTTTTTTAAGTGAGCAGTGTGTGGCGGTGAAAATGGACTGCTTCTTCTCCCTTCTCCCTTCACTTAACTGAACACATCCGTGCAGTTTGCATTTGGGTTGAATTCAAAATTAGTCAGAGAGGCTGCAGGGTAAATATGTCAGCGATTGGAAAGGCGGCTCTGCCAGATTGAAGGAATTTCTGCCCTGCCAACAAGCAGTATAGCAAGTTGGCTGCACAAAATCTGACATCTGTACAGACTTTGTCAGGATACTGCTTGAATCCTTCAGAAAAGTGGGCGATGGAACAGGTCCTTCTTGTGCCTGTAACGCCGCTCTTCTCACATTCCCTTGCACAGCAAGTGGCCACAGCAAGAGGCTTTCCTTGCAGCCCCAATAGCCTTTGTATCAGGTGGAGGAGGCTTCCAAAGCAAAAGAAGTGGACTGTAGCATTTGAATGGTTCCACATGTGGCATAGTTTTGACAGTTCCATACCCACTGGTGGATTTTTATTTTTTTTTTTTCAGAGGTGGAGTAATTCACATGACACGTTTCTAGGTGTGCTGACTGTGGCTCTGAAACTGTGATGTCTGTAACCTGCAGCTCTATTCCAGCAGCTGATGGGGGTCATTTTTTAAGGGAAAGAGCTCTTCTTCCCTTGAAATAGGTGTGAGTCAGAGTTCACTGTTCACATTCTGCAGCAGAACTCACACAGGTCTGTTGGCAACTTAATCTGCCCGTATCTTTTGTTTGGTAAAAAGGTTAGTGCTACATCCTTACTTAGAAGAGCATTGAAGATAAATTCATTGTATGGCAAAGGAAATCCCATAAACAAACCACTTGCTGGGTAACAAAATCTGATATCTGTTCTTGACATTTTCCTTCAAATCAGTAGAGTAGAAATATAGCCTTTATTCAAAGTGGTTGTTAGAAGCATCAGGGACTTGATGGCTTTTGGGGGGCATTGTTTTAGAGTTTGTGCTTTTTGAGGGTTAAAACATTCTTAAATGATTTGGCGTGATCTAAGCTTTTCGTTACAGGAGCACAGAGATCCTGGTGGATGTTTTCAGGCAGATACAGCCTGCCAGGAGCCTAGCTGGGGCCTCTCTGCGGAGGAGGTGCCGCAGTCCTTGGAAGTGCATCAGTTACTGCGTTGTCTGGGGAGCACCGTGGTGCTCAGAGCAGGGAAGGCAGCTCCCTACTTGGGGCAAGTCTAGACCCCGCGTCTGTTCTTTGCTGGCACCTCGCCCAGGCCTGGAGGAGGCCTCGCTGAAGTGTTGACAGCCAGGTTTCGTTCTGAGTAGGTGCAGCTTCTGTGTGGAAGTGGAAGTGGAACAGGCTGGGGGAGAGGTGTGGGCAGGAGGGTTAGACGAAAAGGTGGCAAAGAGCTGCAGCACAAATGAGAATGGCACCTTTTTCTGATGGTATTGCCTCAGTGTACTGCCTGAGCGCTTAGACTTTGACAGAACTGAAATCTTGGTAATTCCTAGTTGTCATAGGATACTTGCAGTATCATCATTTTGCTGCAGAGAGTTAATTTTAGCCACAAAATTTAGACTTCGTTTTTTTTTTCTTTTTTTTCTGAGGACTGTAGAGAAGGGGTTATGGCCAGCTCTCGAAGCTCTTGGATGCTTCTTGAGAAGCTGTTGGGAGGAGTGATTTTGGCTTGGCTACCACTTGTCAGACACAGGTCAAGTGATACGAAGAATGATCTGATTGTGTCAAAGAGGAGTTGGTTTAAGGAAAAAAAACTAACTCACCCCATACTTTGCAGACTGCAGAACACTGCAGGACTTTGCAGTGATGCTTTTCAGGCCGCAGTAGTTCCAGGGGCTGTTACTGAGTGTATGTGCTCAGTGTTTCCTTGCAGGGCTGGACAAGGATATATCATTTCCATTGTTGTTTTAGGTGCGGGGACTCAGGCGTGAAGCAGAGTTGGGGACAGCTCTCCTGGATGGCTGCTGGTAGTGGCACTTTCCCTAGGGATGGCAGCATGGGCCTGGCACTGAGTTGTTCCCAGTGTGCAGCAAGAAGCTGCATCTTGCAAAACTGTTCTTCCATGGTTGGAGGAGCAGTGATGCAGGGAAAGAAACTGAGGTTTGAATAAAACCAGTAAAATCACCTAGGCTTGCTTTTTGTGGTCTGTCACTTTGTTTCTTGAAGATGCTACCACAGGGATGTTGCACGTGGCTCTGGTGTCCAGCTGGTGGCTCAGGTTGCCACATCTGCCTCACAAGATACAGTTTCAACTTTGTTTCTGAATCATCTTGTCTTCCAGCAACTCAGGGCAAATTTCCATTAAGGTAACCACTCTGTGCTGGCAGACTCTTGAGCATCCGAGGAGAGTCAGACATTTGCCAGGAAAAAAAGTTGAGAGGAAACTTATTGTTTGGGGCAGAAATGGGCATAAAAATGCTTCCCAAAGCAGTCCTGTCCTGCATCTTCTGAAACAATGATGTAAAACTTTGCAGTGTTACAAGGACGCAGTGACATCCCCATCATTATGCAGGAAGGTTTTCGGGAGACTGTGAACTTGGAGCATAATGTCTCTGATGAGGCAGAAAGATGGCAAATGAAACTTTTCTCTCATCCTCTGCCTCATCTTGTTTCCCACAGCGTGGTGGGTTTAGATTCCATTTATCTTGCTGCTCTACTTTTGGGCGCATCAGTCCTCCAAGCCTAACCTATGTTTTGGACCTGTGGTTGAATCTCTTTGCTTATTAAAATAATTACCATTATCTGTCTTCCTTTCGTGAAGTTTACATTTCTGCAATACCCGTGTTCTGAAAACAGTGCACAGATATGGAAGCTCAGTAGATGAAAATCACCGGCTAGAGCTGCTACAACCTTAAAAGCAAATGTATAGATTGCCTTCTTACTGTTTTCTCAATCTCCAATTTCCTCCTGCTAAACCATCTCCACACAGCAGACTTAGTAACATGCTGTCTGCTTTCCTTGCCTGGACAGGTGTGTGCCAGGGCACTGACACCAAGCATCACCATGTTTAGAACTTATTGGAAAGCTAATGTGAATTAGTCCATGTGCTACCTAGTTCCTAGGTGCAATAAGTAAGTAAAAATCTGCAAGCTAAACACCAGTCTGACAGAAGCATGAGTGTATGGAGCTGAGTTCTTGTGGCCTTACCTATTTTACTTGTGTTTACACCTTATGAAGGAGAGGGTTGTTTTTTGTTTTGTTTTTTTTTATTACCCTGTAAACTTGTTTTTCATTGTTGTTGCAGATAGCCAGCTGCTGCCTGGGAACAATTTCACAAATGAATGCAACATACCTGGAAACTTCATGTGCAGCAACGGACGCTGTATCCCCGGGGCCTGGCAGTGTGATGGGCTGCCAGATTGCTTCGATGACAGTGATGAGAAGGAATGCCGTAAGTGACCATTGCTATGACCTCGGTGTGCCTGTTACCACAAGGCTTGTCTGGTAGCGTTAGTGGTGTGTTCTGTAGTACATACTATGTACGTAATGAGGCCACTGCCAATTTCTTGATTTCTCTGTTGTTAAAGAAGATAGGTCCCTTCCTATTATTTTACATCTTTAAGGTTCTTCAAATTGGCCAATTATAATTCAGTGCTTGGTAGCAGGTGCCTAAATCCCAGTGCACAGATGGATAAAGCGAGACAGGCTTGACCTGTGGCTATTCCAGTGAGAGACTGATGCTCTGTGTGATTGTAGGGATTCTACATACCCTGACTCAACATACAGGCCTCTGTAATAAAGTCCTAAACATCCCCACTGCCTTCACGCTTCACGCTAGCCCCTTTTGTTTCAATATTTTTAACAGTATCTTGCTGCTTGTTTTCCTCTTCTGTCAAATTGTAATTCTTAGCCCTTTGAAACTTAAACAGTAACTTTTTGGAAGAGAAACAATGAATTGGCTAATAATGTTTACATGTCTTAATCCTCCCTACAGCACTCCACTTCTAGGGAGCTTATAAAGGCTGATCTCCTCCTTTGTGATGTCATGCTTTTGTTAGCATTAAGAAAGTTTTAGTTAATGTTATCCAACCTTTAGTTAACAAGAAGCTTTCTAGGCTACATAGAACCCAGGCAGCGATATTATGCTATGGCAAAATATCATGAGACTGTGTTTAGGAGGGAACAAGGCCACAAACTTCACATTCTTCTGAAGTGTCTGAGAACTTCCTGATAACTGAGTGCTTTTTGCCCAGCAAATGTTTCTTTTTTATGTAAGTGCTTCATAGAGATTTTATTCATCTTAAACCTCTTTATGAGAACCTTACCTTTCCCAGGACACTTCAAGGACATTACTAACCTCACTTGTGGAGTAGAATAAAGAATGAAAGAACATCTTCTTAAATTCATTGGCTAGAAGTAGCACGTTTTGTTAAATGCTTGTTTCTTTAACTTTATGCCTCGTCTTTAATCCCAGTTTTCCATTCCTTTTAAAATAATGGGGGCTTTAATAACTGTGCTGTGGAAATCCATGTGCATAGTTCTGCTTTAAGCAAGTGAGCTTTTTTCCTACTTCTAAGGCCTTAAATGTATCTGTACAAAATATCTGATCCATTGTAGTCTTTACAAAAGCATCAAGCTCCTGTTGTAGCACTGAAGCCAAGTTAATTTGTTGGTGTTGTTGTAAGGATTGATCAGTTGTGCTCATCTGTTTAAGCCTCGGTAGAATTGCTGTTAGTGGGAGCTTGGACAGGAATAAAAAATGTCTGAAGTTCAGTATACATTTTCCAGTCAAATGTGTGGGAAAAAGGAGCTGTGTGACTTGCAGGTTCCTGGTTGCCTAACTCTTGAGTATGCAACTGGAATTTCTTTTGGTGTTTAGTCATGGTTTCTTAAAATGAGCTGAATGAAGGTACTTCTCTGTATTCACAAGGCACAAAGACTGAGTTTCTGTGCCTTTTCTGAGAATGTTGCCATCCTCTGCTTTGCATGAATTTCGCTTCCACTTATTAGACTAGAAAACTGTAACAAAGGTTTTCATTAATCTTATGGACAGGTGTTTTTTTTTTTTTAATGAAGTAGTGAAGACTGGGCTGGACATTTGCTTGTGAATCACGAATGGGAAGATGTGCTGCTTGACTGTATTGAGAAGCTTCCTTACCAAAACCAGTTGGATATAGTGAACTGCAGGCAATAATGAGTTTAGTAGCTGACAATAAAATATAAAAAGCTGCAAAATGTCAGTTCATAAAAGTTATTCTTGTCATGACAGACTTGAAGACAACAGGGAGAGCAAGGAAGTTATATCCTGTGCTGGCTTGCTGTTAACAGGTCAGATAAACCAAAATAGAATGGAAATAGAGCTCGTTTGAATATCCAAACAAAAAATTAATATTCATGCAAACAAGGTTCTGTTACCTGTCTAGAGAGCTTCAAACTGCCTGTTTTGCATCTCCCTCCTTTTCATTTTAGTAGACAACTTTTAACTCTCTGTGCTCCTACTGGACAAACCATTGCATTTGCACTCCATGCAGATGCACGAGATGTGTGCGTGTGTTTGTCAGTGATCGCAAAGCTCACAAAAAGAAATGATTCTTGTGATCACGGTCCCCCTCTGGCAGGTGTGGCAAAGGGATAAGAACCCTCCCTGAAGGGGGGGGGGGGTAAGGCATTATGCAGAAGGCTGGAAGAGCTTTGTGGTGTTAGCTGTTGGCTTATGTCTAAGAGCATAAACTTGCTAATAGCTTGAGGGACACTTCAATTATGTATGGGTTTCTCTGATAGTAGTGCTTCCTAATAATTTCCACAGGAACCACAACCAATACAAAGAGCACAATAACGCTGTTTGACAGGGCAAATTGTCAGCTACAAAACACTATTTTTCAGCATAGTCCGGTATAGTCACCACCATTAGCTGTGCATTTTTACCAATGGTGAAAAAGAGCCTGCATGCTGTGCTCATTAAAACCTGCACCAGTGGAGGTGACCCATTCTCACATCTGCTGAATGCACCAGCCACTGCCTCTCTGTGTTCATGTTCATTGTTTGGTCTGCATAAATGTTCAGCAAGCCTCAATGAATGTCAGAGGTTGCCATTTTTTCTGCGTGGAAGAATTCAGAGAATTCTGTGCCACACCTTTGCTTCATCTGCACTTTCATGTCAGACGCCATTTTGTCAGACTGCCCCTCTGCTGCCGTCTGTCACATAGCAGCAAAATGTCATGGCATATTGGTGGGAAGGTTCAACCTCTATTGCCATACCACCGACAGCTGCCTTTGATGTTATAGGACAGTGTAATGAAATAGGAAGCATTACTTTCAGAGCTGCCCTTGTATATTTGTTGATAAAGACATATAGTATATGCAGGTAAAAAAAAAAAAAAAGTTTGTTTTGCTCTTTTGATTAATTTTGAAAATGGGCCCACTCTTCTGAGGTACTGTTATATCTGTTACCAGCTTGTTTACATCAGAAAGTGATGAAAATTTGGATTGGCTTAACAGCCCTGAAATGGTGGTAGAGTTTCTAGGTCAGATCCAAGGCATGGAAAGGCAACCTTAGCATTTTGTCTGGAAAGTGTGGAGGAAGCAAAATCACTTATTTGCCCCCTCCAGCTTGTGCCAATCCGTAAAGACAAGCTCATGGATTAATTGAGGCTGTAAAAGACTTTGGATATCATTTGGTGCAGCTGTCGGCTGAAAGCAGGATGAGCTCAGACCAGGGTTGCTCAGAATCTTGTCTGGTCACGTGTTGAGTACCTCCGAGGATGGATTGCTCACAGCCTCACTGGACACCTCCAGTGTTTGAGTATCCGCTCTGCAGTTTCTTTTTCATAATACACAATCACTTTCCAGTGATTGAAGCTGAACCAAAGAGCTTTTAAAGATGTGCAGTGTAATTAATGTCTGGGTCTGCTCACCTTACTGTGTGGGAGAAAGGGATGTAGGAGCCCAGGAACTGATCCTCTTGGGTGCAGAAACAGCGGTGGAAAAGTGAGAGCAGCTGACGCTCCAGATGTCCGTACATCACATCTGGTTGTGTCTCTGCACCAGCAGCACAGTTCTGGTGTCAAGTTCTGTAAGGGAGGGCAGCTGTGCTTGGATGTATTGTTAGAGCATAACAAGGCTTGACGAGTGTGCATGGGGTGTGTATGTACGTGTTTTTTATTTATTATTTTTGGCTAGGCTTTGTTACCTTCCTCCTTTCAGAACAAGGCTCTGCTTACTAAAGCTTACCTTGCAGCAAAATCGGCATCCTTTGTTTTCTGCTGTGATGTTGCTTCGCATCAGCTGAGCTGTTGAGAGTAGAGACAAAGCTGTATGAGTTCCTTCAGCAATGTGAGATGGCTGAGTTCCCAGTGTGTTACTACCCTAAGCTGTACTGTAAGCTGCTTTGTCTGCAATTCCTCATCGACTAACTAGTTCACATTTAAAGGCTTTCACCTTGCCTTAAAGTGTTTTGTGTGATTACTGAATTCAGATGGTGCTCAGACTGGTGTCTTTGTGAAGGCAACATGCCTTGTTTTTGCATGCCCACAGAGGAAGTTTCATACGTGCATGAGGTGCAAAGTCTTTCCCTTTTGTGTTGCCTTATGGTTGAATGTGGATGTCCAGTAATATCTGATGAGTTCTGTACTATTTCATTTTCTCTGTTACCCTTAAAAAATGGAAATGTGCAGCTCAGATGTTTTCTGCTGCACATGTGTGGAAAGCTATGAGGAGCCCACGCGTGCTGCTCTGGCTGTGAGGAGGAAGTGAGACGCAAGAGCAGAATGATCTGCACGTTGCCCATTGAAGTTTCCTCTTTCCTCTGTTCCTTTTTTCCTTTTTCTGTCTTCTGCTTTGGAGGGCCATCTCTCTTAACCACATCACTTTGCTTGTGAGATTTTTCTTCATCTTCGGCATCTGCCAGAATTCATACCATCTGTTGCATTCCTGCTTCCTCTGTGCCCTGACCTGTGAGCGATTTAACACTTCCCATGCCAGCTGTCTGTATGCTGTTTGGCACACAGAGGTTTCCTGTACTCTCGCCTTATGTCATGGTGATGCGGCAACAGAAAGATGTTATCTGAGCAGGAGGGTAGAGAAAAGGTATAAGAGAGAGAGAAGAAGCTGATGCTGGGACTTCCATTGCTGCAGATGAGAAGTGATTTTCCTTGAAGAAGAGCGTCACCTTGGCTTTTCTTCCAAACCATTAACTGAGCTTGGAAAGTAATTAATTGACCATTGCACTCAGTAGTGCAAGTAACTTGCTATCTTCAGCGCATCTCCCAAAATGGAGAACAGTTTTGTTGCTCATTCCCTCTGGCTCTGCTGATTCTCATCAGCTGGATTGCTAATCAGCCTGCGAATTCAAGTATGGGTCATGCAGTTCGCTTTTGAACACTTGTGGGCTTTTAACTACTGCTACTACTGGTCTTTAGCTCTGTAGATGATTTATAACAGTAGATGAGGTTC